CCGTCAGTTGGCAGCCTCTCAAGCCAAAACTCTTAGTGCGTCGTGGGAGATCCAGAAGCGTCAAATTTACTGCTTTAGTCCAGTGTCCACCTCACACACTTCTCTGCCACCTAGCTGGTGATACGAAAAGGTGTGGTGGTTGACGCTGCAACTAAGGCGTGCCAGTAGATGGCAGCAGTCATGGTCTCGCGTACACTCTGAGCTGCCGATGATTCCGTGCCGTTAGTCAATCTGAACTCCGCTTTGGCTTGGCACATCTGAGTACAGCGCAGATGGTTTTGAAGACCAATGGAAGTAACCTTATGCCCCTTAGTCTCTGCTACCGGCCATGTGACTGATTAGTACTCCGGGCAGAGCAGTCCCAACAACGCTTGACATGCCTACCTACGCCAACCCTCCCCCTGAGCATCGGAGCCACACGCATCTTGGAGCAACATTACCTGCCGTTTATGTACCTAACCCATTTGACTGAATCAGGCTTTCTTACTGAACCGCTAGTTGTATAGTATGCAATGAGTGTTTGCATCTGGGAAAAGTGTCCCGAATTTTATGATGCCATTGAATTATACATGTTTAGCTGTCTTTGCCGTGTTCGAATTTATTCGAGAAAAGAATAGCATACTGTCAGCTAGACCATGCTGAATACCCACTAGAAATACTGTATCGTTTTTATCCCAGTAAGGGTCACGGTCGGTCATCTCAGACGTCGTGTCAACGTGCTGAGCGATGGGCGCTTGTCTGCGCCAGAAGGCGGCTTCTGCTGGAATGTATGACTGACCTTTCTGTCGCGTTCTAGAGGCACCGGTTGACTGGACCAGCAACAAATGAATAAATGTGTTGTTCCAGCATCTTTGCTAAAATGATGAATGACCACATCTTCCCTGTCTGTGATACGAGGACTAAGTATGTGATATGCGATAGGTGGAGGGGATTATCTGCGAACGCTTTCAGTGGTTCTGTCGCTTGACGATATCTTCGAATTAACATTACCTTTATTTGACTCAATTGTGAAAAACTCGGCGACGTCGGTAGGATTCCCAAGCATTCAACATGGAGTCTCCTAGACGAATATCAGACTCACTTAATTAATTTGCGTTTTTGGCAGATTTGAATAAATGGTCAGATGTGGTTATGTAACCCCACCTGAAGTAAACAAGCCCCAGTCACCTGTGATACGGGACCGGTGGTAATAGGGGTTTTTACAAGTGGGACTAGGGAAGGCATAGGTGACGAAGTCAAGTAGTTGTATGCAAAAGAAAGCCTATTAAGAATGTGCGGTTGTACTTTGAGTGGTTGAGAAATAGTTGTCCTAACCCCGAGTCTCAAGCTCAACAGTATTGTGTCCGTCAGGCGGGGCTACATAACCAAATCTTACTCAACAAATCATTTGACCCAACTGTGAAGAGTCCGTTGACTACGGTATGATTCGAACCCACGGAGCCAGGCGTGGCTTGAATACAACCCCGCTCTAACCACCTTGGGAAGTCATTATATTGTATTAGGATTGGTGGATCCAATACGTTGTAGCAGGCTGGGTGATTAACTTGACTCAAATGTGGTCACACTCACAGTTCACGGTGGGGCCTCATATATCAGGCGGTCAGAGTGTTGGTTGTACTCAAATCGTGTTCTTGCTGTCGTGGGCTCAAATCTCACCGCGGCAGACGGGCTTTTCACAATTCGCTAAAATGAATTATTCAACAAATCCGTCTCAAATGAGACGGTCCGCGCTCGCCGCGATAGTATCGCGATGATACCTCTGGTTATCTAAGAAAGACGACTGAAGTGATTTGGACTTGTGCTGCGTCGTCTGCCTCGTGAACTCAGTGCTGCTGCCCTCAGTCCGACGCCGTTGTTCATCTGGAGGCGTCGAAGAGGAGGTCAACTTAAAACCTGGCTCGGCACAGTTCTTCAAGGCACGGAAGTGGTTCCTGGATCCTCTGTATTCGGTCTCCGGCGCTGGAGGAGCGAATGGGCTGAGCTGTATAGATCCGCTGACGCGGAACTTCACGTGTGGAGGTAAGGGCATGGTTTGTCCCGGGTATGCCTAATAGTACACAAGACTGGCTACTGCATTTACTTAAGTAGGCGTTGTTCGATTACGTTTTGCCGAGGTAGGCAGGCTTGACCTGCGCGTTTCACAGGCCTATGCTATTGACCTTGCAGGCAACCGCCCGAGAACCAGGTGCTGCAGAAATGTGTATATAGACTAATTATCGTGCTTCTCAGCCCAGCCGTGTTAGATGTCATGCGAAAGTTTTGTTCGCGATCAACAACATACCAAAGACTGAGTATTTTGTGATTACTTTATGCATAGGAAAATTCTTACAGCCGAGAGAATATGCTGTCGTGTACCAGTTCCACGGGTTTATCAATTGTTCGGCTGATTCACGGGGCACACCTCCGCCATGTGGAACAGGAAAGTTTCCCCTGCTTGTTTTAGGCCGGCGGCGTTGAGTCCAAACCATAGGCTATATTGTATCTCCTCAATGTGGACCCAGACAGCTCGGCCTGACTCAGGGCCACCTTCATGTAATCTTCCTTTCAGGCGACTCAAAATAGGCTTCAATTGCATTAGTATGGTGGACTGCGGTTTTATCCACAAAATTTCGACTATGATTTACGGCATAATGTTTATAACCGTCCGACGGCAGGCGTGAGTAGGCCTTCGACCCATCCGTTACAATCACACTGCCCTTTGCTACCCACTGTATTATTACCGGCCTAAGGGCTTACCATGTTCAATCGTTCAGCTGCTCGACTATTCCCTTCTTTTGTTTCGTGCCGTACATCCCGAGTAGCCATAACTGTCTCTTTTGCCTACCTACGTTGTATTTCCGGCGGCTCACCAACGTCTCATCGATCTGTACTTCTACTCCTGGCCCGCCAAGCAGTCCGGTTTGGCTAAGGAGGGTCGCGGAACATGCATATTTCGGCATATGACGTACCCACTCCACTGCTGCTGCATGGAAAACTCCAACTTCCCTTTGACATTGCCACACTCTGGCCTTCTTAAGAATGACAGGCAGATTTTTAAAACCTTCTTGATTGTTAGGTGGCTGCTTTCAAGCATCGAACCTGCTCGCAGTGCCTTCGTGTTGTCACAACGGTTACACCTGAAGACCAAACCGTCAGTGTTTTTCACGAGAATTTGCTGTCGCATTGTCCAACAACATTTGCATGTCCAGCTTTTTGGCAGCAGACCTTTGTCCTTGCAATAATGCACCATCTTATCGGAGTTCAGTATTTCCATTATCTCCTCACCTTCCGTTGTTTTGTCCCTTTGGTGTCCTCTGCGTCTTAGTTTGTTCAGGCAGTGGTCCGCTTTAAAAAAAATTAGTTTACGGTTTATCGCTGTTTTCAACTATTGCAATGATCTTCCGCTCACAGATACCGATGTTTACATCCGCATGAACAGACTGCCTTTATGTTTTCAATATTCAGGGTGGTAATTTGTTTTTGATGCCGAAATCCTCGATATTTACCATGATTTATTTCCATTACACATATCTACTTGTAAGTCATGCCTCTTTACATTATTAAACTCGTCTTTCCTTTTCAATCTTTCCTACTGACACTTAGTTTACCTTGTCATAATTCCCTCTTGTCCATTGTCTTGCATTTTAGTAAAATCTCCACAGTTATTGCGACTCCTGGTATAGCTCTCAGTCTGCGTTATTTGCACGTCTGATAACCGCCTGCGACCAATTTCGATTGGCTGCTATTCCCTTTGGAACCCGAGCTTCCGTTACTCAGTTGCCTAAATTACCCCCTGCATATCGTTTTTGGTTAGCTTTTCGAATTCGTGAGCTTACCTACCGTTTATATTCTAAGCCCATTTGAAGGTTTTCGATGTTATTTTACATTTTTTTCTCGATTTTCTTTTGTGTGCGTCCAAAGGCCCCACCCGTATAACCCTTATTACCGACATTCCCTTTAGACAGGGTCCCAAGGTTATCTGTTGCTGATCCCGAGGGCAAACCATACCTTCGCCGTGGAGAAGTATGATGCTTGACATCATCGGCGTCGGCTAGGTCGGACATGATCACAGCTTCACTAAGTCAACGTCAAGTCCTTCATCAGAAGGTCGTCAGGTGCAGAAAAAAGAGGTATCAAGTTGAAGACATTTCATTGGAACTAAAGTAGGCAGTTGTCCAAAATTTTACAAAAAAATCAAACACAGTTATCTAGCCGCCGGGAGCAGGCCCTGTTACCAATAGAAAATAGCGTGTGTGCATAAGTTGGACTTCTTCTAAGGGAAATGGTTTCGAAGAAGAATTTAACGAAGGCGTGAATGTCGGATGGGAAGGGGTGACAATAGTGAAGAAGAGTTGATGGGCAGAGACATGCGATTACGTGGGAGGAGGAAGAGGAAAATCCAGGTATGGCGCTCAAACAAGGTGTTCAAAAGCGGCAGCCGATGAGCAGAGCGCACAGTGTGGGGGGGGGGTTATAGTATGTCCAGAGGTAAGGGTGGGAGTTAGATGGCGGCAAAGAGTGGTTAGTTATACGGATCTTGTGCAGAAAAAAATAATTACGCGTTACGCAAATACGCACGCAGTCACCCGCACAGCCATCAAAGGTGAGAGGAATGAGTAAAAAAATTATGACATTGGCACCTTCTGCACAGGTTCGGGCTGGTTACACGGCAACCTGCGCAAATACTAGAAAACGCGCAGGCTGAGAGCTCAAAGTCAAAAAGCTAGAAAAAGCGACTCATAAAGCACCCAAAAGTTTGAATCCGACAGTGGGCATGCATGGGGAAGGCACATTCGGTAAGAGACATCTGGAGTGGGGTGAACGGGGCGTGTAGTAGGCTCCTAGAATAAGACGGTGAAAGACGCGATCTGGTGGAGCAACAGCCGGCGCTGTCGCAACACCAGACAGCGCGGATTAACCCCCTGCCGTATCGGAAGGGAGCGTTGTACACAGCCTTGCATGAGTTCGATGTTCAGGGCCCAATCGTTTTGTCGATACAAACGCTGGCTACTGCACGCTGATCAGAGGTATGTCTACTCAAAGAAGGATAAGTCGTTTAAGTTGTCTCCTACCGCCAGTTTTGATGACTTTCCGGACATCTCAGCCACTAAAAAGGACACAAGAGAAAAAGGTTAACAAGTTGGAAGATCAGGTATTTTTGCTTGAAGTGTCCTGCAGGGACAAAGTAATGCTTTAGTTTTTGAGTATTTGATAGTTCGGCGGGTGACATAAGTGAGATCGGGAAGCCAAGAAAATTACTCGGCAGCTCAGTCAATAGCGTAAGTCAGCAAAGGCTGAAGACAGCTCCATGTCCCCCCCCCAGGCCTACCTCCACCGTGTTCAAACATGCAAAAATTGTGGCATATGCGTCTTTAGGGTAAGGTGATTCCATGCCATTGCATTTCAACTTAACCTATATTATGCTACCAGTTGCCCGTCGGCAGTTAATGAATATTACGCGGTTATTTGCTGTGGCTGATGGACCTCGGCCCAAATATTCGTACATAAAAGCTTCGGACTGAGCCTATAGACCTTAAATATACTGATCTACTCCAAGTTCGCAGTTAATTTCTATGGAAATTAACAAGCATATGAGTCTGGTGTCAAGTTTAAATGCTTAACTAGAACACATTCTATAGATTAAGTCGCGGCAAACGAATGTACTGCTGATATTTCGTGAAAAGCAACCTTCAGTTTTACGGGCAAAGAGACCACCATGAACCTGATACTCAGTTGTGTTTAGGGGTTTAAGGTAGAGCCATGCCAAAATCACAGGCCCCAGCTCTGTCATTCGAAGCGCTCATAATTCAGATGTTTTCTTTAAAAAAACCATTGATGGCTGTATTGGTGCAAGTATTAAAATGTCTGCGACCCAAAATCAAACTAGCATAGTGACAACCTGGGTGTGTCGATGCCAAACCATCGGTGTTTGTGCGTTAAAAAATTTACGACGTAATAAAAGACCTGAAAATAAACCGTCTAGGGTGCCGAGCCCTGAATGAGAGTACCTTGCTGGCCGCAATCTCTTCGAACATACTAATTTTGATCTACTGACTGACGCAAACAAGACCTCGCAGGTGGCAAATGGGGAAGACGTCGGACATTTCCCTGATGGCTATCAAAGCAGCGTCCGGTGTCGGACAGCACATTGTTTCAGAGAAGTGAGTCATGTTGTGCCCGTGGAATCTTTCCTAGGCAACGGACGCCGGGATCACCTAATCTATTTCCCTCTTTAGCCTCCCACTGTTCTGTATGCATAACTATACAGAAGAATGACTCGAACGGTAGCTTTATAGACTTAACAGCTAGTGGTAACTACAACCTTTCTTTGTTTTGACTGTTGAGGTGTGATCGAGGTCTAATTTAAACACTGTGATGCACATGATGCTACTTGCTAGGTCGATGGGGTGTGTGGCAGTCCGCGATCGGCACCGCCACTGCTTTGTCATGCAGCCGCGCGAGAGCTCGAAGCTCCGTCGCTGATTGGCTGCAAACGGACACAGCATATACACGCCCTTGGGGCTAACAACCTCAACGGCAGGCACAGACACGCCTGAGAAGGGCTCATGAAAAGTGTTTGCTGCACCTCTAGTACACTCTCTCGCATCAGTGAAGCTCGTCCAACCTAATCTCTTTCCTTACCTGTGATTTGCGAATTGTCGTTTGTCAAACCATCGCACCTTCGACGGATGAGAACGGGTAGCGACCGATTTGAAGTAAAGTATGTCATAAACATCCTGGCCGTTCAACTGACACAAACCAGACTTCATTCGCTCGAACCTCACGTCGATGATTTGCCATACAAGCCGCAGCAGTTTGGTACTCAGATTCAGTGACCGTGTTCTTCCGCCAGTTGGCAACCCTTTAAGCCACACATTCTAGAGCTCCGTGTTACGTAAGCGCGCATAAGAGTATTTATTTGGTTAAGTGTCCTGCCGAACCAACTTCGTTCATCCCTATCCTATTATGGACCACTGGCAGGACTAGATCAAGCCGAAAGGGACGTTTTACAACGGTTCAACTTACTCGTGCGACGCACGCGCATTCTTGTGGAAAAAAGCAGGCCTCCGGTTTAACAGATTATGAAAACGAATCCTATGGTCAGCTAGTCGCGTGTCTAGGGATCAACCTCCGCACTGCCATTGTTCTTGACGCTAGAACGGTGGTTTAGCTGGTTGACCATAGTTTTATTCTGCCTTTATGCAGCCAATTATAACGCTAACTACTGTCCGGGGACAGAAGCTCAAACATGCCCAGGTACACGACGCAGATGGCCCACAGACGGGGCCTACCAAATGGGTCATAAGCACTTCATCGAACCAAAATCCACGAGAGCATTCCGCTACCGGGAATTCTCTGACGCTGTTGATAAGATATTCATTCAAACAGGAATGGGCCCGCAGCGATGCATTCATAACGCCGGCCAGCACATGGGACAGGAAGCAGCGAGATAACTGATAAAGCTCGGTTCTATGAAGTGCCTGTTATCTATCGGCAACAAGCACCTGGCGACATCTCCCGCAAATCTACAAAACAGGAGCACAAATCTCCCCAAGTGGAGAACGCGTATGCCCCTTAGAAGTCAAACTAGTGGGCAAATCTACAAGTACCGTACTTCAAAACCCCATGAAAACCTGAGTACGTAGAACGGCTCGAAAAACTTACCGATTGGAGCTTGAGGGAGTCTGGCGGTGGACGAGGTTTGCAAACTGTTTGTCATTTTCTGATTTTGGAGCTGCCGCAGACTCGGAGCGGACGGCTTGGTGGGGGCGCTCTTGTGCCGCAGGTCCAGATCAATGGACATGGAATCAAAGTCCTGCCACAGTTTTCCCAAAGACGGCTTTTCCGCTTTTGAAGCACCAGAAGTGGGAGGGACAGTCTTTGGGATGGAAGTGGGGGTAGCTAGAGGTGTTACCGGGCTTGGCGCCAACTGACCGTCCGAATGTAGCTAAGTTAGAATGGAAAGAACGACAGTGAAAGATCGACAACTGCCCAGACATAAAGACACCACAAACTTTGGCGGTGAATGGAGTTTCTGGATACAATATTAAGATAAAAATAAGGGGAATAAACATATGAGGGTAAAAAAGAAGTCGTGGATTCAAAACAAGTGCCGTTAGGTTGAGGGTTGAAAGGGTTAGTGTGTATTCAATCAGAGCAAAAATATCCTTACCATGCTGGAATGAAGTTAATGTGAGTTGATGGGACCGGCCCCAAGAAGTAAATGAAGGCGTCCTTGGACAAGTGACTGGCGTTAACATAAAGTGACACGTCTGCAAATTAAGTGTTGTGTTTCGTAATTCTACCTATGTCCGGGGGTACGGTATTGACATCTGCCACATATATACAATAGGTGGGCTAATTCATGGAATGTCCGCGGAAATTCCGAAATAAGTTTTCGTTTCGAGAAGATTAATTAAGTAGGGTTGTGAAACTACTCATCGTACAACATAATTATATAATAATTCAGTTACCTCGGGATGCGGGCTTTCGAACGAACTTATTTCCGGCTGCATCCAAAAACTATACTCTGCAAAAAATGACTACTTGGGTAGCACGCATTTTTCATTGATCTTCGATGCCTCTATAAATCCAAATATATTTTATGAAAAACATGCATAAAACATTCATTTCTTGTTCATTCGGTAGGAAATTACGTCTTCTCTTAATTTTATACCCGAAGGAAGGGTATAATTCAATTTTCAAAAACTTTTCCAATTCCCGACTATTTTTGATCCCCGACCTCCCATTACACTTGCATTCAGTTTCCAAACTACAAGCCATGCATTTTCCACGTACGGAGATTCATACATTTCTCTACGGTATTAAGAGGAGAATATATGGGGTTCATAAAATTTAGCAGTGGATTTTGGCCATTATGTTAACTTTACAAGCCACATTGGTTAATGCGGAGACATGAAGTTCTATAAACGGCTACTTCACGGAATTAAAAAATCTCACAATAAGAAACTTTTTAAAACGAAATTATACCCTTTCTTCGAATATAAAGTTGGAAGCAGACGTAATTTCGTACCGAATGAGCGAGAAATTAATATTTTTATGCATGTTTTCCATGAAATATATTTGGATTTATAGAGACATCGAAAATCAATGAAAAAACGTACTACTTAAGTAGTCCTTTTTGCGGAGTATACTTTTTGCGTGCAGCCAGAAAGCAGTTGGTTTAAAACCCGGAATCCTGAGGTAACTGAATTATTAGAGAATAATGCTGCATGATGATTAGTTCTACAACCCAACTTAATTACTCTTTTGGAGACGAGAACTTATTCCGGAAGTTCGGTTGACATTTCATGAGTTAGCCCATCCACTATATATATATATATATATATATATATATATATAGGCAGAATGATATTACCGACAAACACAAGGGAGACTGGAATGGCCATTTCTGGCCTATTAGCCGTCGTCAGCCAGCCATACCCAAGCCCGAAGTGTGGAACACCCGAGCCTCGAACTCGCGACCTGTTTGTTAGAAGTCCACGCCTCTAACCACTGGGCCACGAGCCCGTTGTCTTGTCGGTTTCGATAGGGAATATACAATGGTAGGGGACGCTCACAGATCGTTCTTACGGAACTCACTCGTTCCGTTGTGCCTTACGGGCTCTCTCTAGAGCCCGACCAGTAGCCGCACAGCATATATATTACATAAGCAGCTCACTAAGACTGCGACAAGCCAGACGCAGACAGTTGTGTCAAGGTCGTTACCGACCATCGGTAAGTCATAGTGAGGTATATATACATGTCAAGTAAGTGTTTGACCCTTACTGTTGTGGTTAAGATCTCATTCGACCCCGTTATGTCCGCCCGCCACCTTACTAATGACGACAACAAACGTTATTTCATAGGACACATACCACATATAATACATAAGCAGCTCACTAAGAGTGCAACAAGCCAGACGCAGACAGCTGTTTCACAGTCGTTACCGATCGTCAGTGCGTCTATTCCACCCTACATTCAGCCAATCACAACCCTGGTGAAGTGCTTATGGCCCATCTGCCAGACGTCGTCTGTGGATTATCTGCGTCGTGTGCAAACGCAGGTTGGTGCATCTAGTTAACCTTCAAATCATAGTAGACGATATCAGAATGAAAAGATGGAAGCTGGATGATCGAGTTACCATAAACGTGGCAAGAAGCGAAGCTTAAATCAAAGACGGGGAATATCGCTTCGTTCCCAAAAACGCCCTTAAACAGACGTCCGGACTGTAATAAACTCAAATTTAGACATACAAGTGACGTCGCCTAGGCAGAAGCCAAACAAAACAATAGCATGTGGGCTAAAAACAACCAATAGTGGCCCTCAAAACTAGCGTCGGCATAGTAACAGCGAGTAAACTGTGGAAACGGTAGGAGTGGACTGTGACAAGGGAATAATAATGGTCGCGGTGGACAGACGAGATAGGAAGGTAGCCTTCATGCGCAGGTCCGGCGGGGAAGAAATGTACTCGGTCACTGAAACAACAATGCTTTCACTGAAGATCCCACCATCAAACGTGTCAGCAGATAAAGGTGGCGCACGCACGGGGGTGTAGTATTTTTAGGATTTAGTTCCTACGCAACTGCACGCCAAGTAATATTAGCAGCTTCTACATTCATCGTACTTTGTGCAAACACTGTTCGGTCACCCACATCAGTCCTTGGTTGCTGTGACTTCACCACCTAAGTTGGTGATATTTGTGACAACTACTCGGCAACGGTGCACGCCAGCACTGTCACTGCAAGCACTGCTTCTCCACAAGATGCCCTCTTAAATAACTACTCGGTTCAGGCAGGCTCTGGACGCTGAATAGGGAGGAAAAACCGTTGAATATGGTGGAGTGCAGACGAGAGAAACATAATTCCAACAGCTCGCGGCTGAAACGGCCGTCACTTCTAGCAGAGATTTTGGCATCATCGATGGCATTAAAGATGTGACCGGATCCTTCGAGTGAGCCGCGAATAGAGAGTTAGCGTCAATCCACGTCACCGTTTATGTGTGATCGGTTATCAGTGCACAGAGTAATCTTCCTGGTTCTTTGAAGCAGTAGCCTTGCCAACAACTACATCATATCAGGCAAACCTGTGCATTGGAAGTGAGGCTGAAAATTTGAGTGAATAAAGTTCTTGCTTCAGTTATTGAGCCACCTTCTTAAATACTTTCTGAGGTCCAAATACTTGCGTGTATCGGAAGTGCACTACCTACAGTAGATGTGCTAACTCATGAAATTTTAAACCAAATTCTGAAATGCGTTTCGACTCGAAAAGGTTACTTAAGTAAGGTTATAATACCAATCACGGTGCGGCATAATTCCAAGATAATTCAGCTCCTTTAGAATGACGGCTTTTGAACTAACTCCTTTTCGGCCGTCTGCAAAAACTGCAATCTGTGAAAAATTATTACTTGAGTAGTATGAATTTTCCCATTGATTTTCGATGCCATTATAAATTCAAATTTATTTCATAGAAAACGGGCATACAAATATTCATTCTTTTACTTATTTGGTAGAAAATTATTTCTTCAGAGTTTATACTTGAAGGAAATGTATAATTAGATTTTTAAAAAACTTTCTAATTGTTTTTGATTTTCTACCAAATAAGTAAAAGAATGCATATTTTTATACCCGTTTTTTATGAAATATATTTGAATTTCTAATGGCATCGGAAATCAGTGAGAATAATTCATACTATCTAAGTAGTCATTTTTACAGATTGTAGTTTTTGCAGACGGCCGAAAAGGAGTTCGTTCAAAAGTCGTCATTCTAAAGGAGCTGAATTATCATGGGATTATGCCGCATCGTGATTAGTATTATAACCCTACTTAAGTAACCTTTTCGAGTCGAAAACGCATTTCAGAATTTGGGTTAACATTTCATGAGTTAGCACATCTACTGTATGTGAACGGAGAATTGCTGCATCAGGGACAAAACTAAGCCGCCGACGCTCAGTGTGAAGTGATGAAGAGTGTTAGCGCGATTGATTTATTCGAAATTTGTGATACCGCCGTCCAAAATGGAGGCAGAAAAAAGCTGCGCCGTTTTTAATTTTGGACCTAAATAACAATTACACAGAGCCAACAATACACTGAGACATGCGAATAAAAGTAATGGAAGCTGCCAAGCGTAAACTTAGCCTAGGTGCAAAATTAACGAGAGCGGTCTTCCCCTTGCAAAGGCAGATAAGGCCACCTATGCGAGTTAATTCCGTTAAAGAAGGATCAGTGGTTGTCTCTGCCTCCGTAAGCTGTGTATTCGAAAGGATGTGCGTCAGGATCTGGGGCAAGTGACCCTAAAACAGGCCACGCGGTACATGTGCTGGACTAGGAAGGATGCTAGATCGGGGTCTGGCAGGCGCCCGTGTGAATGCCCACTCATAACAAATGCCAACATTGGGAGTGTGACGGCACGCCCATGCGGAGGCGCCGCCCCTCCCCCCTTTGTGTAACATCCTGGCCAGTTTACGTTGCGGACCATGGGGGGTGTTGTGGTACGCCTAGGTTCGGGTTTTCGCCCTCTCCCGCCTTCGGTCTTCTTGAGTCTGTAATGACACCGGACCCAGATTGGGGAGGTGAGTGCGGTAAACGCTGCGCAAGTGCGTTATCGCCATGAACGATTTCACACACAAGTCACCGTCCCTGCTCCCACCCTGCCGTGGCGCACATGGTGGATATCGTCAGTCACGACGGTGAAATGTCGTGCCTGTGGCATGGCGACCTGCTGTGTATAAGAGCGCAGCGATCTTCGGTAATAACCAAATGCAGGAAGACAAAAGAATAGGTAAAAACGCAGGGCCAAAATGTCGCGGAACAACGCAACTAACGCTCGAACGTTTCTGGGGTGCCCCAGCAGTCAACAGTTTTGTTGGGCACTACTGGTACTACTACTACTACTACTACTACTACTACTACTACTACTACTACTACTACTACTACTACATGAACACCCTTATGCAATCAACACTACAAAAAGCCTACCAACACTACTGATTGTTTCTACAGTCATCGTTAGCACCCCAGAGTGAACACCTATCATCAAAGCATTCTACCAGTCACCCGAATCACAAACACAGTCCGATCAAAGTGTCCATCATCGATCACGACGAGGAGCTGTTGTGTGCGTTGGGTTTTCCCACTGGGCGGAACTATTGTCTTACGCCTAAAAGGGAATTCACAGTCCGTTATCAGACAAATTTCGGGCATCTGGCTTGATAAACTGTCATACTTAGAGCACACAGCACGGGTGGCACTGCTGAGTGAAGCCTAAAAAGTGACGCATTTAAAGTCCGGTTTCTGCAAGTAGAAAGACCAGCGAGTGTGTTGCACGCGATAGAGGCGGATGCCCACTTGTTAGCAGTGCCCTATTATTACTGTCATAGACATTTTATTCCATCAATACGGGTGAGGGAAGGAGTGAGTCCGATGGTGTGTAAATTTACCTTACTGTAGTTCAAAACACAAGCGATGTTGCAGGAAACCAATGCCCGCGTCGGTCAAAGTTTATGTGACATTTACCAAAGACGTCGACCTCTGTTACGTGCTCCACCACCAGCAGACGTCAGCGGCATTGTTCAAAACGCTGCAATTTAGACTCACATCACTTACAAAGTAAATATTCGAGTCCAGTTTACGTGAACCTTCGGAGGGTGGTCGATTAAATGAACCAAGTCATACACCTGCAGCGCTGGTTCCCTTCAGGACACCTCTGCATACCATTCACACACAGAACGCATAAACGCACACCTTAAGGGGGTTCCTTTCTCTCAAAGTAACTGCCGAAAAAGTCCTTTCAGTACCTGAGTACTAAAAAGGCATCCTGTGGCATTGTCACCTAGTTACACAGCCGCACATGTGCAGGTAGGGGAGCGAGCGAGACAGAGGCCGAACGAGAAGCCCCAGATGGCTTCATTTGCGGGAGCCATCAAGGCAGGCCTTAAAAATGACGCACCGGTTCAGGTGCCTCGAGAGGACACAATGCACAACTGTAAGGCTGGCTGTTGAAACGTGCGACGAACCGGCATCAGTAAGACATTGCTGGAGTAAGTGAAAAGGAGGTGACGAAAAGAAAATGGCGGGAGGGATGCTGCAGAGGAGACGTCCTAATAAATAGTAAGAGCTGATGGGCGGGGGGGAGGACTTACAGATATGGTATTCTGTGGTTGCGGGGAAAAGTCAAAGTTAACGAAAGGCTGGCTAGCGACGCTACTGGTCGATTGGGCAGTTGACGCTGTGGCATCGAATTTGGCCGAGGTGAACTCTCCAAAATCGGCATCCACTACGGAGGAGACTGCGGGCTTGGCGGCTGTCAACCTGTACGAAAAAGGAAAATTTTTTGCCCTAAAGCTGAAGAGGTAATGCGTTATCTTTATTTTTTGTTTCTTGGAGTGGGCATTTTAAATTTGAGCAAACTAAGAACACACTATGAAGCTAAATGGTCTGTAAAATAGCAAAGTTTAAACATGTAGGGGACGCGAAGCGCACAGATAACTCTATTCGTAGTCGCGTATTCGTGACATGTGCCGTTTAAGTATACATTTTCCCCATGCTATTGCCGCGAATTCATCACCAACGAATTCGTGCATCAAGTAGCGGACGTATACATTGGTCCCTTAGAATCTAGATGGGTGAAAGGCTGCAGAGGGTTAATAAAGTTAAACGGCCAGCTAACAAAACATGAGACGCGATCAGGCAACCGAACTTCCACAGTTTGCGTTCAGAAGATCGACGATCTCATTAAATGTTCCACGAAATTTTGACATGTGTTCTTTACTAGAAAGGACTCTTAGCTGGGGTTGCAATACTACTTATCGTGCAGAAAAACCCAATGTTTTCAGTAACGCCAGCATGCCGGCTTTTTAGTGCGCTCATTTTCAACCACCTGTAAAGTCGGCACTCGACGAAAAATACTGCTTAAATAGTATGAATTCTGTCCACTGATTTCCAACCTTATAAATTCCAGTATATGATATAGAAAACATGATCAAAAATATGCTTTCTCGCACGCATTTGGTGGGAGATCACGTCTTCTTCAAATCTCGCACAGGAAAAGGAACATTTTGGTCTTAAAAACTTGTAATTGAGACCTTAAAAACCATGAAATGTCCATTTAAATAATCTCTTGTCTGTCTGTTTGTCAGTGCTCCTTATAAATTATACAAAATAGTCCACATCCATTGCAAAGTTTCATTATTCTCATATTTTATCTGCTTAATGACATGGGGTAATGTGCGATTTTCCTTACAGGGAAAGTACGCAACTTTTAGACTACAAACTTTAAACACGAACGCAATAGCAGATAGGACTCAAAATTGCTCGGGAATCGAAAAAAAACTTAAATACCGATAAAACAGCCTTACCTCCAGGGTAAAATTTGAAAAATATGTAATTTGTTACAAACCAAGTACATTTCTGTCCGTTTCCCATATTCTATACTTCAAATTAAAAGGGTATCAAAAATGAAGTGAAAAACGTATGCTAATTAGGTAGTTATTTTTCCAGAGTGTAATTTTTCCAGGTGACATTCAAAGGCAGGAACTCTGCCGTGGCGTGGGATTAAGCTCCACGACGATCAACATCAAAATCCCACTTACTCGAAAACGTATCTCAGAATTCCAGTTATAACATATTACAGGTTCGGTCACCGACTGTACTATTCTGTAGCACATTGAGTAAGAGCACATTTCCCTCAGTAAAGTGTATTTAAGACAATTCAGGCTGTCTTGATTTCCTCAAAGTCGTAACTTTCAGGGCTACCAACTGGCAGGATAACTCCGTCCTCGGGACGATTAGCATTCCTCCTCAATTCGGTTTTACGGCAACTCACGCGATAAAAAACGGCATAAGTGACATTCGTTTCTTGTGCGTTGGTAGACTACCCTGTTTTGGATATTTGGTCATAGGAACTTCTGCATGGCTACCAAACTAAATTCTTATGGAGGTTCGCATACATTGTCAAATATCTTACCTAATAAATCATCTGCAAGTGCTTGAAATTACGGTTCGCTGTGGTAAGATTTTAATTACTGTCTGCAATTCACCAGTAAAAGAGTCAACCAGGCCATTTTTGTCGTGAATAACCACAACTTTTACTTTACTTAAAAAGAGGTAAAATTTAAAAACCTGCTGCCATCTCAGGCAAAACGACCCTCGAAATAAACACCCAAAGGATGGTTGCGTGTGCGCAATACCGTCGTGTGAATACACGATAGGCTCTCACTCGCATGCTTCTCTTCGGTCACCTTGACCTTGCCCGCTAGTAGAGCACAATTGGTGGTGGGGCGGAGACAGAGGTTGCATAAATGTTCGTCAACAGAGTCAAACTCTTCTGCAAATCGATCAAGCAGGTCGGGATTCTGGTGTTCCAGACCGAAAGGTTTACACCCTAAGTTCCACCTATTGCACGTACATATGGGAAGCTTGGATGCTCCGAATAAAGAAAAAAACGGTAGTTTCGGCATCTGTGAGTCAAACTTGCACAGCATCACCGGAGACGTCAAAGACTGTAACCACAGACGCCAGTTGTTTTATAGGGTCTTCAATGGACCCCATAGCCTGCAGTTGCGACATAAAAATAGAACAATACTGAAAGATCAAGACTCACGGTGTGGGGCTGGAAAAGATGGACGATCCCACGTTGGGATAAGTCTTGGCAGGAGCAGGGGTGTCAGCGGCGAAGCCATTAAAGTCAGCAAACAGATCGGTTGTCATGGTTTGTGTTGAAGATGGTGTGGTGGCCAGCAGTTCAACGGATGGCGGTCGTGGTAACTTGGCGGTTGTCTACAAGAGAAGACGTATTACGGAGTATGTGTGCTGACCAAAAGATGAAAAATAAGAAGTGACCGGGAAGATCGCCAGAAAAAAGATTTTTTGTATGTGAAACGAATAACACGCTGACAAAACCGACTGGAAGATAAGCCTCCTAAGTAATATACTCTAACGGTAATAAATAAAAAAGGTCATGACGGTGGCGATCATTGCTAATGCCCCAACCTGAGTAGGTACGCGACTTCTAACCGACATTTCAACCACCACAAGAGACAAGGTCTGTCAACTTCGCAGAGGATGGACGCGGCGGCGTTTTCCGTGTGAGCTTGTTTGGAGCGAAGCGAAGTTGTGCCGCAAGTACCTCGCTACTTATTCTCATATGCACAGTGCTCCGATGGAGAGACAACTTCGAGGTGTCAAGAGATGAACGTGGGTGGAATGGTCGGAACCAGTGAACAGTCCGCCTACGCCTGTCACACTCGTTCTGGTTCCTAACTATATGCGAGCCAGACTTTTATAAGGAGTGCTCAGATGTCACTGAAGTGGGTGTCATAAAATGCAGCCAACGCAACTTGACCCTCGTCCCAAGGGAGAACGAAACCAGTCCGTTGTTGACAGCCTTCCAAACCACGGTCTTCAAAGCGTCTTGTAAATAAGATATGGTTATGCATCCACGCCTGATGGACACAACTCTGTTAGGGGTTAGAAATAGGGGTAAGGGTTAGGGATTAGAGGCAGGAGGTAGGGTTAGGGAAATATTTCTTAACCGCTCAAAGTACAACCGCGCACTCCCAATAGCCTTTCTTTTGCATACAATTACTTAACCGCGTCGCCTGTGCGTTCCCCGGCTGCACATTAAAACACCCCTATTACCACCGGTCCCGTATTACAGGCGCCTGGGGTTTGCTTACCTTAGGTGCGGCTACATAATCACGTCTGACCGTCTTGTAAATTTCAAGACTGTTGATCCGAGCTAAGTCGATCTCACTCTCTTCCCATATCCCAGTAGTCAGTGAGCTCAGCGCACAGAACTGCCTGGAACAAAGAGTGGATCATACCGGCCCCCCTACCGCCTGCTGAGCTTGTCGCTCAAACGTGGGAATAAAAGACGCGTTCGGAGGATTATCCGCGAGATCTGCACGCTGGTCACAAACATCACCTAATTCGTTTCGCCATCTACTACAACTCTACTCCTGGGTCTGACCTAACTGATCGAGGTCCGGGTAGGTTGGTTATCCACAGTGACTGTTGCCTATCCAACAACATGATCAATACAAGCAATCTGACCATCGGAAACGTCCCCATACACCTTAACACCGAAAACCTAACTTCCTCCACCAACAAACAACAGTTATGATCTGGTGACAGTGGTACCCGTCGATTACGAAGGGTGAGCTCTCATCCTTAGTTAGAATAATGGTCAACCTGGAGGGAATGATGTGACGTGCTGGAGTCTCCTTGTGAAAGGTCAATAAGCATGGGCGGCGACTCCTCCGAGTTCTTTGGCATCACCATTTTTTCCGACTTGTCCATTGGTAAAGAGTGGCCTGGAGAGGCCTGATGCCGATCTTGAGACCTAGAGCCTGGGTGGCGGTCGAATGCAGGCGGCGACCTTGGGGAGGTCGATGGGTGCTGCAGAGCATCATCTGCAGGCTCGGGGAAGGTGAAAACCTCTTCAGATACCATGTGTGGATTGGATTCAAACCTGATGAGAAGACGAAAACGGGGCGGTGAAAGAGGTTGAAATCGAGAGGTCGCAGGTTCTCCTGGCTAGCCATGTTGGCTGACGAACCGTGTGGGAGAAAACAGGTCAGGGTGTAAAGTGGAACAGAGGATTTTAAAATGTGAATGTGATTGTGGGTTAAGCGTGCATATTCGCACGGACAGTACATTTTCCCTGAGTTATGCGCCATATACTTTGTCCTGTAATACTTATGGGTGCAGGAATAAGTGCGACCGACAACGATGGGGATTTCCTGCACAAAGGCTTTGACGACCAAATGCACGGTTATCTGTGGCTTGTGGAGGTAGGGCAGAGGGGAACTGCTCTAGGATTACAGAAAGGGATGGTCACGTGATTCTTCAATTTGAACTTCACCAGCCATCAAGCCCTGAAATCAAAATGTTTCCGGATGTGCCGCGGCCAACTTTCATGATAACTGTGCGGAAACCCACTCTAGTTTTTCGTCCATTTAGGTTTTTGGCTGACGGGCAGTGGTTGGTCGGAGACCTACAGCAGGTTATTTGCGGGCCAGGAGTCGTGTAAAGAAGGAAATTGGCTATCTGATTACATATGAAGCGGCTTTTGGAGTGTGTACTGAAATTGTTTTGTCGTCTGGAAAAGTTTGCGTGGTGTCACACAAATGACCTACACCAAATAGTCGTTTCCAGTTTTGAACATATTAAACATTAGTTGTCGTGTAGTCTAGCTTCTGAACATGCCTTAGTCAGAAATGGAACGAGCAAAACATTAACGGTTTCATCAAAATATTAGTATTTCTATGGGCACTCTGCCGTGCATTCGTAATCGCAGAACGGAGTCTAAAAGCGAGCAAACACATTGGAAATGGCCTCAGTGTATATATGAAAGCATGTTCTTAAGTTGACAGTAGAAAAATATTCGCATTGTTTAAGAATGTGAAAGAAACGGCCAAAAGTGTCCAGTTTTTTTAGGTCTCACCGTGCAAAGGTGCAAAGTACACAGAGATCCGCCAACGGAGTGCAGTAATAAAGCACTTCTTAAAGAGGTAACTTATTGAGGAAAGTTTTCTAATTAATCGAAGACATATTCGTCCCTGACTTTCGTTGTGGACAGCCATTATATTCGAAAATGAAGTTTTATGTTCGAATGCGTCTTCACATGTGACCCAAACGACATCCTTCATGAAAAAGAACGCCCTAATTCGGCAAATGCCTTCAGAAGTGTCTTATTTTAAAGCTTTTAACAGATACATGATATAGAATCTGTTTCTATGGGCGATCGGGAGAAAACACTGAAAATCATGAAGTATTCAGCAATATTTCAACGCCGCTTTGGAACTCAAAGTAATCCAGAACAAACGAAGTGTAAATCAATTTAACGAAAGAACAGTTCTGTCTATAAACACAAAATGTTATGTTTACGATCACGCCTGTCAATTATATTTAAATTGACTAGTTACCGACCAGAATGACGGCATGTGACCTTATGAAAACTTTTGCTCCTACGACGCCCCCGTCATTGAAATCAAGCAAACTCACGTTTCTCTTGTTAAAGTGCATCTCATTCAACTCAAACAAGTTAAGAATACTACGACTTCCAGAAAAAATTCTTTCGAATCTATACTGAAAATGTAGGCTGTTGACAAACCGCCATATGTGAAATTACACCAATTCTTAGAAGCTATTTCGACTTACACTTCACTCAGACACTATTTCCAAATGTTAGTTTAATTGTGCTTTCATATTTACTTCGTTTTTTGCATGAGTGGACATTCTTTACATCTGAAAACGAAGTTTACTAAATTGCAGCCATTCTTGAAGTTTTCGGGATTTTACGCTTTTCTAAAAAAGAGTATTTCAAAGCAGCACAACACTGCCTTTAGTATTTATCAATATTTTTATTCTTTCAAAGTTGCACTAAATAAACATAGATATTAGATCCATGAATTGGTGTCAGTTTGCGAATGATTTGCAATCTTTCGTAAATTTCGACACCTTTCATGAGTTATATTATTTACTGTATTTATCTTTCTCGGTTTTATGTCGTGTAGGAGGCCATCGTCAGAGACAAAAGCAGCAACAAAAGAGGCGACAATTAAAGGGCTCATTTGCCGATGAAAGAGCAGCTATTTACAATTATATTCAGACAGTTTTACTACGTTAATAACTATCTTAGATCTCATCTTCATATAAGGCCGTTTTTCTAGTAGATGGCTGGAATCTAAAGGTGATTTGCCAAAACGGTCGTCGTCAACTTGAAGCTCGATTTCTCAGTTCGCAGAAATCGAGCGAGACGTGGCGTGGAGAGGCAAACTATTTTCAGAAAGACGGAAGTTTTTTTCGGAAAATCGAATTGACATAAGTTTATGCACATGCAAATATTCCATAGGTGGTAGCGAAAAAGACCACTGTTAAGCAGTCCCTATTACTTTTAAGCATATGATAAGACACTTTTGCGTGATCTAGGGTTTGTCAATACGTAATACAGAAATGGAAAGAGCAGATTGCTGACCGTTTTAGTCATATCTTAGCCTTTACAGTTGGTGGCCTGACACGTAAGATATGTCCAACCTAACGTAAAATCACTAAGCAATTTGAAACCAATCCGGAAACATCCACCAAAACACCAAACTAATACTGAACGAACTTCAATTAAATGGAAAGGTAAAATAACTATTGCAGACGCTACTGCATCCATTAGAAAGAACCATTGCTTTAAAAAACGCAAATGTTGAAAACGTAGAAATTCGTGTCAAATGAGCAGAAGCAAATGTCAGAGGCACATAGTGCTTGTCCATGCAAATAACTAAGCAAGACAGTATATGCAAATTAATGTTTAGAAGATAACTTCAATCAGGCAAGCCTCAAGAATTAGCGTTATACGAAGCCTGGCACAAAGTCAACTGCGTAATGGCCGGTGATGAGTTTCAGGATTTTTTGTGTTTTCTGATATGCAGCTGATTAAAGCAGAAGACTTAGCTGATAGAGACGTCAAAAGAGTGAAGGTTTCCATATGGTCACATATTGGCAGGCCGGCAGAATGGGAGATGCACAATCGTAAGCACACCCTTTCGTGTACACTAAAAACATTTTTCTTCCGTCACATTTATTTGCAGTTTTCGCTGATGGTAGAGACCGGTGAATTTCATAACCTCCTTGAAATGCTAGTGAATACTTTCCGATTTTCAGTGCTTTTAGTCGATTGCTCACAAAGAAGACTCTATATTATGTACTTACCAAGGTCTT